GACATGTCTGCTCCTGGCAGCAAGAGGATGATGGCCATCAAAGAACCTTGTTTATGGAACTTCCTTACAATGTGTAAAAGATTAGTCACTTGGGTAAGAAACTGCTCTTGGCTGGACTACCTTACAGTATGTTGTATAAACTGGACATGCAGGACCCGTAGGATAGTGACTACTGAACTTTGCCAAAACAAGGTGGGATGGTCCTTCATGGTCCTGCTTTGCAGACAAATCTGCCATATATTTTGCAGGACACAGAGGAAAGTGACTGACAAACTTTGCCATTAGGTAGAACAGTCCTTCAAATTTCCTGCTTCACTGAAAATTATGCCAGAGACTCTAGGCCTGTAGGCTGAAGCTATATTACCAACATTACAAAGGAACTTTCTCTGGATTCCCATACTTAATTATAAGCAGCCTGTCATGCTAACATGCATTCCTGGTTCCTTATTCTAGATCTCCTTAAGTTCCTTAAGCATGACACTGTCTCCCCAGGCTGGGCCTTTTGATTTCTGGAAAGAGTAAGAGGCCAGTCTGGAATGAAAGAGAGATGGGAATAAGTAAGTTTTCCTTTCCAGAACAACTTGTTTCTTCTCTTTCTTCAATAATTACCCCCTCTCCCTTCATTTAAAAACTTTTAAAGTGTATTTTTTGTCTATATGTATGTTTATGCACCACATGCATGCCTGGTGCACCTGGAGGGCAAAAGAAGGCATTGGAAAGGTGTATTTTTCTGTCTATATGTATGTTTATGCACCACATGCATGCCTGGTGCACCTGGAGGGCAAAAGAAGGCATTGGATCCCTAGATCTGAAGTCATGAGCAGCTGTGAACCACCATGTGGGTGCTGTGAATTGAATCTAGGTCCTTGATTAAGAGCCACAAGTACTCTTAAGCACTGAGCAATCTCTTCAGCCTGGCCCCATTCCCTGCGTGAAGAACAGGAATTTTCCTGTTTAAATGTCATTTCCATTCTCCTCAGAGCTTTCCCCATTTCCACTCTGTAGCCTCATTATATGGGATTATACAGGGAGGGTTGTCTGCCTTCTCTGTGTGTGCTCTACTTTCTCCTGATTACAAGGACACATAGGCTGGTGCTTCCAGTGTAGATATAGGAGGCAGACAGAATGTTTGTGAGCAAAAACTTAACAATTGCTAGCAAGAATAATGAGGTACATGGTTTGTAAAGCACTGGCCTAGTATGTATGGATCCCTGGGGTTGACCCCCCCATACTACAGGACAAACAATTAGTAACATTAAAAACTGAGGTAGCCTCAAAATCCAGGGATACCACTCTTGGACATATACCCAAGGAATGCACAATCATACCACAAGGACACTTCCTCAACTATGTTCATATTAGCATTATTCATAATAACCAGAATCTGGAAACAATATAGATGTCCCTCAACCAAAGAATGGATAAAGAAAATGTGGAACATATACACAATGAAGTACTACTCAGCATTAAAAAGAATGACATCATGAAATTTGCAAGCAAATGGATTGGACCAGAAAATATCATCTTGAGTGTGTTAACCCAGACTCAGAAAGACAAATATGGTACGTACTCACCCATAAATGGATACTAGATATAAAGCAAAGGATATCCAGACTACAACCCAAAGCTCCAGAAAAGCTAGCTAACAAGGAAGACCAAACGGGGGATGAATGGAATGCCCTGGGAAGGGGAAATAGTTGAGATCTCCATGAGTAAACTGGGGATGCGGGGGGAGGGCGGGGAGGGCAAATGGAGGGTTGGGGTTGGGGGATCAGAACATAAGGGAACAGGATGGTTGAGCTGGAACTGGGATGGAGTGGGAGAGCAATGAAAGAGATACCTTGACAGAGGGAGACATCATGGGGATAGGGAGAAACCTGGTGTAAGGGAAGTTCCAAGGAATCCATAAGGATGACCCCAGCTTAGACTACTAGCAATAGTGGAGAAGGTGCCTCAGCTGGCTTACCCTAGTAATCAAATCTGTGGTGCCCTCACTGTCATCATAGAGCCTTCACCCAGTAGCTGATGGAAGCAGATGCAGAGATCCACAGCCAAGCACCAGGCCGAGCTCCAGGAATCCAGTTGAAGAGAGTAAAGAGGATTCTATGAGCAAGGGGCATCAAGATTATGATGGAGGAAATTTATGTAGATAACTAAACCAAGCTTGTGGGAACTCAGAGAAATTTATATCGACAGATGTGGATCTTTCATGGGACTGGACAAGGCCCTCTACATAAGCGAGATAGTTGTGTAGCTTGTTCTGAGTAAGGGCCCCCCTGGCAGTAGAATCAGGATCCATCCCTGGTGCATGAGCTGGCTTTTTGGAGCACACTACCTATGGTGGGACACCTTGCACAGCCTTGATGCAGGAGGAAGGACTTGGACCTGCCTCAAAAGAATGTACCAGGCTCTGTTGACTCCCCATGGGATTCCTTAACTTTTAGGAGGAGGTGGGTTTGGGGGAGAAAGCTGAGGGGTGTGGGAGGAGGGAAGAAAGGGGGATCTGTGAGTGTTATGTAAAAGCAATCACATGAATAAAAAATTTCTTAATTAAAAAATTGAGGTAGCAGGCAGCAGTGTGTTAGTCACTGTAAAACCAAGGGTGCATTGAGCTCATCTTCATCTGTTAAATCCAAATAAATAAAATATACTTCTTTTTTTTACAGATATGATAAAGGAAGTGATAACATCACCAGAGATGATTTCACTAGGCTGTTTATACAATGATTTACTTATTTTTATTTTATGCATTTGGGTGTTTCTGGGGCTTTTTGCAAGTAACATCTTTAGACCATTTGCATGCAGTGCTTAGAGACATCAGAAAAGTGCAACAGATCCCTTGGACTTGATTAAGAGATGACCATGACTTGCCCTGTGGGTGCTAGGAATAGAACCGGGGTCCTCTGAAAGAACAGCCACTACTTTAACCACTGATCCACCTCTCCAACCCTCAGATATTTATTTTTTCTGAGGCAGGGTCTCACTGGTATTCCTGTCTGCCTTGGAATACACTATGCAGGCTGATCTCTCTGCGAGAGATCCAGCTGCCTCTGCCTCCAGAGTGCTTTATTTAAAGGCATGCGCCACCACTCCTGGAATTCACCAGACAGTTTGAAATATACAAATATGCATGGGAAATATAAACAGAAGGTGCTGTTTTTTTATGCCAAAAGATGAAATAATACACAATTCCATTTAAAAAAATTAAAGAAGCTAATTGGGAGGATTTCAAATTTCTCCAGGGTCAACAACACTTCTGAACTCAAAATATTCAAGAAGGGTTTCATTTAGTACTCAAAATTGTGTCCAATTTGTCAACTGTATTGTTTTAACTTAGCCATTGTCATAAATAAGTATGTGAGGTGAGCTCTGACCACTGAAAGAGTAGCCCCTTTTCATCTGGAGTGAAGTCCTAATGGGACTCTTGCTGAATGTGTTTGCATGGTGGATTTCTCACAGCTATGCTTGCTTCCAGACAAGAAAAAATTTTTACCTTGCCATTTTTGAGACACTCAGATCTGTTTCTAACATTTAAACAGCTCAGTTTTCTAGTTCTATTTTTATGTCGTCCTTTGCCTGAGTGTAATGGAATACTCACCTTCTATATTGTCTCATGTTTGGATATAAACATGCTAGTAAGGTACCAGTTTTCATTGGTCATTTATGTATTTTATTTTCTTTTTGATGTTGTTATTTGCATTCCAGTTAGGTAAGAAAATAAAAAATTTCAAGCATTGATCTTTGCTAGGCTTGAGAACTTGTTCTCTTTCAAAGTCTTTTCCACACTGGAGAATGCTCCTTGGAGTTAGGGAAGACTGGGCATCTTCTGCTGTTGTGTGGTGGATTCTCTGTAGGGCCGCTGGGAATTATTCATTTTCTATGTTGTTCATGGTCTTCTTTCTAATTAATATTAGATTGAATTATTTGTCACTAAATATTGAATGTTAAAGTATCTCAGCATTTCTGTCTATTTTTCCCCACCATTCTATCAGTGATTGTGTCAATTTCTAAGAAATTGTTGAGTAAAATGAACCCATGCTGACAAATAGCCTTCTAGCAAACAGTACATTTTATCATTGGTCAGTATTCTTCTTTTTGTGTTTTAAGAGTTTTGTCTTGGATTGTGTTACCTTTCAAAACTGTGGCCTCCCATCTTCTTTATCACTATCGACATTCATGGTGTATCTTTTAAAAGATTTCTTCTCTTTCAGCATTTGGTGTCCTTATGATCTGAAGTGAGAAGAGTTAAATCTTTGAGACTAAAGTAATGCAGACCACGAAGGTAGTGCTTATTTCTCTACTTTTGATTCTCTCCTTTCCCAGCCATCTTATCAGACCCCTGTCCTCCTGGCTTCTTTGTTGACCAGAGGTCACCCATAAACAGCCCCCGCTGTAGTGGTTCCCTTCTCCAGCATGTCAGTTTAATGGTATTTCAGCTGACACAGTTGGTATAGTTGGATCAGGGACCAGGGGCTGGCATTGATTTGTACTTTGGCAGCTTGGTTATTGGCTATGTCAGGAAATCATCTCCCAAGGATCAGCCCTTCTGTTCTGTCTTGGATTTTTCCCTGTCTGAAACCATGTGTGTCATCTCTTTGATGGTCAAGATAATCATCATCTTCCTCAGTGAGGCTCTGTGTGGTCATGGAGCTATCCCTGGTGCTTTGACTCAGTGACAGTCCCAGTGCTGAAGTGTGCAAAGTTCACTATTAATTATAATGTTCTTCTAAGTACCTCCCCCCAAGATATTTGCAAGCCATATTTTTTGTCATTTAAATTCATTCAGTCTAGTGTTTTGTGTCAGATTTGAAGTGAATAGTTTCTGGGAAATATCTAATTTAATTTCATTTTCCCAGTGCATCCCTGGCTAATCTGCAATTCTTTATGCATCTCAGGCTGGCCTCCAACTAATAGAACTCCACCTGGCGCTGTCTCTCCAATGCTGGGATTAAAGTGAGCACCGTCACACCCAGCCCCATTTTTCATTTGTTTTCTTTTCAAGGAGTTCCATGTTGACTTGCATTGTGAGTGCAATAAATTGGATTCCTACTAACACTGTGTGTATATGTTCTTCCCCCTTTTTTTTGTCCCAAGTATTTGTTGCTAATATTAATGTAATTTACATGAGCATTTTTGACACCCTGATTTTAAAGGGCAAGAGGTCCAGTCGTTGTCTCTGAGACACAGTCCCAGAGCAGAGCAACAGGGGAAATGGCTGCTTCTCCACTGAATACATTTGAGATTAGTTTCGTTTTCTCTTTTTTTCTGGGAATGTCATATATTGAGACTGTGCAAACTTCTAAAACTTTGAAAATATTACCTGGGGCCTGGAGAGATGGCTCAGAATTTAAGAGCCCTTTGTGCTCTTGCAGAGGACCAGGATTCATTTCATAGCATCCAAGTGGTGGATCATAACTTTCCATAATTCCAGTTCTACAAGGTTCAGTGTATGTTTAGGATTTCTCATTCCTATCCCACATGATGCTTTCTATGCTATTCAGTAAACACAGAGAAAATACACAGGCACATACAGAGTACACAGACAGACAGACCGACAGAGAGAGAGAGAGAGAGAGAGAGAGAGAGAGAGAGAGAGAGAGAGAGAGAGAGTACAGACACACAGGAATAGATTCACAAGACAGCCTTCAGGGAAGCACGGATTCAGACTCATGGAAGAGACACCCAGAGGCTGGAAGGGACCAGGAGCTTCAAGTTTACAATTCAGATCTGGACTTGTTCTTGGTTAAATAACTCCAAGGGAAAATGCTTTTATTTCTTTACTTGACTCCACTAGGATTAATTATTTGTGACAGGGAGTTAGTCACTATTATGTTTAGTCTATGCACATATGCAGAGTCTATTATATAGTGACATTGCTTTTCCATATGAAGAGAAACAATAGAACTCACCACAATGTGAAACAAGCAGTCCTTTCATGTGAAAGGTGCCCATGGGCTCAGAATGAACCCTGTGCTTTAAGGACAGACCCCTATCTCTAGAGGCATTTATATTTCTGTGTGCTCACCTCCCTGCAGAGCTGGGATGCCTGTTTACCTGCTATCATCATGACAACGCAGCTTAAACCTCAGAACACACCAGAGAAACCTGGTCCTGATTAAAATCATGATAAATCTATTTCCTAGCTGGAAACTCTAAAGGGACTTGTGTAATTCTGGAGTTTCTTTCCTCAGCCTATGCAGATGGGCATGGGTGTACACAGAGAATTGTAGGCAACAATCCTAAAAGAATCAATGGATAAAGGGATAAAGAGTATAGTATGTAGGATAGTTCTATTTCTACTGTTTTTGAGAATAATATAGAATCCTTTCCAAAATGGCTGCTCTAGTTTACATGCCAAGAAGGAGTGTGTAACAGTGTTCCTTTCCTCACATTCATGTCAGAATTTGTTATTTATCGTGATGATGGCCATTATAACTGGGGTGAGATGGAAACTTTAAGATTTAGTCTGCATATCCCTGATATCTATGTATACAGGATTCTTTGTGAACATGACTTGAGAAGTAGCCAAGCAAACTGCACAGCCTAATCAGGAATCATGAATGTACAAGCATATCTGATGCCTGCTGACTTTATAGCCTTCATGGAACTAAGTTAGGAAAAGCTAAAAGAAATGATCAAATATTCTGATTCATAGCACACACCAAAATTACACCAACATGAATTAATTTGAGAGGTTTATTAGCAGCAACAACAATAAAGCAGAAATAAATGCACCCTGATGAAACAGAAAAACCCTAGAAGCAAATTGATTTGTCACAGAATTATTTCAGAATTTCAGAGAATAACTGATACTGAAGCTACTTAAAATATTCCATGATATAAAATGAAGGCAAGGCTTTCTAATTCTTTATGAAGTTAATATTACCTGATATCAAAGAAGATAAAGTGGCAAAATGAATTTTTTTTACTTTTATTATCTTTTTTGTCATTTCACATAATAGACATTGTTTATTGCACATTTTTATCCCTTACTCCCTACAATCCTGGCCCATACCTATCCTTCTCTCTGTCTTCCTATTTCCTTACCCCTCTCTCATGTTCATTTCTGTTCATTTTGATTTTGACCCACCAAGATTAGCCAGGGCTATCTGTGAGCATGTGGGTTTGGAGCTATGTGTTGGAGCCTATTGGGCTCAACAGAAGACACAGAACTAAAGACAGTGATCCCCTTCTCCTAAAATCTCTCCATAGCCACAGTTGAGAGCTAAAGGGAGGGGCCCTGTGAGCCTCTCCCCTTCCTAGGCTGACTGTGTCCAGGGCTGGCCTTGAGTGAGGCCAGTGCAGGTGAGTACAGTTGCTCTGGGTTACTGATTATGAGTTTGTGGTATGTGGAGAATGTCATGTCATGGTCCTTCCCCCTCTTCTTATTTCCTTCCCACCATCTCTCCCTCAATATTTCCTGAGCCATAGATGGCTTGTTGCTACTGACTAGTTTAGGGCTGTGGACATTTACATTGTTTATTTTCTGTGTCTTGGACAGACACACGCTTCTACATTCACCAAGGAGTTTTCAAAAGGAAATTTCTGTGTTTTCCACCAAAGCAATTTTCTGTGTTTCCCATAAAAGCACATTTAGCATGCTTCCCAGAAGGGAAAATTGTTTCTAATTTAGTACAAGCACAACATCAACAGCTGACAGCAGAGGATGAATTCAGAACTAGGCTGTTAGCAATGGGCTGACTGATCACCTACTTCCTGAGACACCTATATCCTTTCTAAATCCCGAGTTCCTGAAATGTCTTCCCCCAAGTCAACGTTCCTAATAGTGTAATTCTGGATATTTGAGTGGCAAGAGTGGAGGTCTGTGAGGGAAGGGTAAGGTTGACTTTTTAGTGTCACTTTGTTTGCATAGTGATGGTAATCATTATCCAGCTTTCTAATAAAGTTCTCCAGAGTGAGTTACTGTCTCAAAAATTAGCATATTTCAAAGAAGTATAGAACATACAGATGGAACATGACTTTTATTTTTAACTAGTGCTACTTGCATGGCGTATTTTTGTTTTAATTCATTATTTTCCTTGAGGCATCCAGCTCCTCTACCTTGTCTTCAAGCCTGATATTCTGTCTCCTACCTGATTGAACTCTGAGTTATTATTAGGCATATTGCATTTTTTATTTCTTGTTTCATTTCAGTTTCAGTTTTTTTTTAAATTTGGTGTTTCTACTTATTGAATTCACTTTTTATATCCTACAGTGTCTTCATTGATAAGTTTATTTTGCACCCCAATAAACATCTCTACCAATGCAGCAATCGAAATCAGACCAAATCAGACTGAATCAGAAAAAGCCCTGGTTTAATGGGTAAAGCCTTCTTGAGTGATTCTCCAGCCCTCCAGAGAGGAGACGGGGATGAGAGATCAGAAAACTACATGTTTATTTTCTGGGATGCAGCTTAAATACCCTGTGGGAGTGGTCTTAGTCCTCTTTGGGAGAAGAACTGTATTTGGCAGGCTTTGAGAGTTTGGGGAGGGGAGTTGAAGTGGATCTTCCACCAGAACATTCCAGACTCTTTGGGTATATGAATGCTAGGGTGCCGGGGCTGAGGTGGAGCTCCCACCAAACATTCCAGACTCTTTGGGTGTAGGGGTGCCGGTTCAATTCCGGCTACTTCTTGCAGGCATGGGACGATGTGGGGAAGTGGGGAGTCAGGGGTTGGTGGGCTCATATTCAGCAGGAGGTGTGAGTGGAGGAGCATCTGGTTAATTGTCATCCTCGAGACCTCAGGCATCTGTTTCTTAAGGAAACAGAGAAGGCAAGTTTCTAGGAAAAGATAGATTATTAACATCTGCTCTAGTTGTACTGCGGAGATGAATGCACAGAGTAAAAGAGCAGATAGGTCCTTCATTGGGACATCTTGGAAAACTGGAGGGTGGAGGGTCCCAGCTGCTGAACAGACCATGTATCCTGAATAGGTGTCTGCTTGAGCCTGGAGAGACGGTACCAGCTTGGATGTCCCAGGAGCTTGGCAGCTGAGGGGGTGGTAAGGATCACAGTCTAAGGTCCTGTTCACTAGGGCTCAAGAGACTTAGGGGCTAGCTGTTTGAGGAATACTCTGTCCTCTGGGGAGAGTGGGACAGGCACAGAGGCAGTTGGGTCTGTTGGTGTTGGGGCAGGGAGATGGCTGTCAGTATGTGAATGGAGAAGGGACCTCAGAAGAGAGGTAGGGGAGGTACCCCGCCATTGAGGGAGTTTGGCCTGGGAGGTGGTGATTGAGGAGAAAGGGCCTTTCATAAAGGAGATTAAAAGGGCTCCAGCCTGTAGGAGAGCATGGGGTGGCCTAGAGGTGGGTAAGGGCAATGGGGAGAACTCAGGCCTGATAACCTGAGTTCAGTGGAGAGCTTGGTGAGCTGTTGTTTGATGAGTCCATTGGCCTTTTCAACCTTTCCCTAGGATTGTGGGTGATAGGGAATGTGGAGCTTCTAAGAGATGTTGAAAGCATCTGATGCTGTATGCTCCATGGCTCTGGAAGTGAAGGCTGGCCCATTGTCCATTTGTATGGTCTGTGGCAATCCAAATCTAGGCATAATGTGTTCTAGGAGTATTTGGGCCACCACATCTGCTGTTACCCTGGAGATGGAAAGCTTCTTTCCATCCTGTAAAGGTGTCAACCACAGTTAGGAGGTAACAGTATTTTATGTGCGGGCATGTGAGTGAAATCCACCTGCCAATCCTCACCTGGTTGGTGTCCTTGAAGCGGTTGCAGAGGCTGCTGTATCTGGAGAGTTCCCTGTGGATTGGCCTCGGAATTTGTCTGGCAGGACAAAAGAACAAACACCAAGAACATATGCAAAGCACATTTTGTAAGCCCATTGATGCTCAGGTGGCCAGAGCCCACCCCTGAGGAGCTACAACCACCAGGCTCTGCCTTGAGAACACTCATAACTGCCCTAAATGCTAGACACAACCCCTCTAGATAATGGCACTAAGCTCTGCCCTGCAGAGTAAAAAGCTGAAGATCAGGACTTTAAAACCCACCAATTCTCCAACATGGAGAGCTCCACTGTGGAATGCTATGCCTCCCCCCCGACCCTGAAATGTTATATAATTCCTGTCTTTTCCTCAGTTCTTTATGGCTTCTCACCAAAGCACAGGCAAACACTCTCTTGAGTTTTTCCCTTGCAATAAATCTCTTATGTCAGGTCTGTCGTGCTATGTGCCTGTGGTATTCCTTGGTTTCGAACTATCAGGATAGCTTTCCCTTCAGAGCTGTAACACTTGCATTAGGCAAACCTTCTCCATGGAAGCAGAGCTATAACACTTGCATTGAGGAAAGTTTCCCCCTCTGAGCTGTAATACTTCCACTGGGGAAGCCTTTTCACTCAGAGCTATAATATTTTTACTTTTCTCCTCTGAGAATTTCACTTCCCTCTGTGAGATGTGAGACTCATTCACACACAGCTCACATACTTGCAGAGTACTTTCCCCTGGAATCAGGAGGAGCACTGGAGACTGGAAGAAAACTATTCTCACACACAAATATCAGACTGCTGCAATTCTGACACATCCAATCTCTGTACAAAGCCAGCTGAGGGGTTCAAGCATTGCTCTCCTTCTGAGAGCAGTCCACAGTCATAGCCCTGTCAACAAATCATGAAATTAAAAACAAGGCTAGGCAGTGGTGGCACACGCCTTTAATCCCAGCACTTGGGAGACAGGAGGATCTCTGTGAGTTTGAGGCCAACCTGGTCTATGAAGTGAGTTCCAGTACAGGCTCCAAAACTACAGAGAAACCCTGTCTCAAAAAACAAAAGAAAGAAAGAAAGAGAGAGAGAGAGAGAGAGAGAGAGAGAGAGAGAGAGAGAGAGAAAGAAAGAAAGAAAGAAAGAAAGAAAGAAAGAAAGAAAGAAAGAAAGAAAGAAAGAAAGAAGAAATTAAAAACAAAAGAAGTGAGTGTTTGAGCCATCTGTGTTACTGTACTGCTTTAATCCCAGCACTCAGAAGGCAGAGGCAGGCAGATCCCTTGGGGGACCAGATTGGTGTACATGGTGAGATCTGAGCCAGACACAGCAAAAGAATGATATACACATTCAACAAAATAAAGCCAAAACCAAAAAGCACCAGGCCAATTTGGTCATGTGATATGGAAAGTGTGTTTTTCTTGGAACGTGGAGACAAAATACAATGGACTCAATTTTTAATCATACAGATGAGTGATACGAATTATTTAAAGGATGCTTTCTAACGTGTCCTGAACTGCAGTGCATCTTACAACTGTAAAAGCAGTGTGGCCTGATATCCTCTGGCAGCATGCATAGATATTGTACTTTTCCTGATGCTAGGCTATAATGTATGAAATATACAAAATAGGTATGCATATAGGAAAATACATTTCAGAATGCTGTATTTACATCTTAGCATGCATAACTCTCAGATGGAAGATTACCTAGAGAAAATAGTTAGCTTAATGTTTACAACATAGCCATAAAGCTTGCTAAAATATGCTTCCTGATTCAATAAAAAAAAACTGTAGTGATACCTTATATGACTTATATCAAAAACCTCTCTAGGAATGCCTAGATGCCTTGGGGAAAAGCCACTCTCTTGAACTGGCAAATGGTAAAACAGGGGATTAGAATAATGAATGAATTTAAATTCCAATTGCCACAATAGCAAAGAGAACGATGTTTGCAGACAATATATAATGCAAATTCTCTCCCAGATCATGCTTCTGTAAATATCCTTGCAATTATAAGATGAAATGAAAACATCAGAATACATTCATATGATCTAAAATGTATTGACAGGATTAAGAAATCCATAGCAGATATCAGACTCCATGCAGCAGCAGTGACCTGATCACACCCCTTGTCCTGTTCCTGCCTGTTTCCCAGCACTGCAGCTCCTCTGACCTGGGAAGCTTCAAGGTTGTCTGGATGTCTGCTGTGGTTCCCACAACTGCACAGCTGAATGGTGACTTTCCCCAAGATGCCCCATGGATCCCTGCTGCTGTGATATGAACTGTTTGTTCACATCATCATGGCTCTCAGGGTTATAAGGAAATTACAACACAGACACAGCTGATCTGGTTCCCATATCTGTCACATGAATGTCACTGCAGAAATGATTCCATGGAGCTGAAGCTCCATACCAAAACAGACAAACAAAACCTGCTCAAGACTAACCAAGCTCAAAGCCCAGCAAGGGTGAAAGGGATCCTCACACCACTATCTGAGATATGATAGGCAACTCTTAGCCTTG